TATATGAAGGCACTACTTGTCCCTTCCACCCCAACCTACTTTTTGGAGATCTGCGGCTAAACTCTAGTTTCCACGAACAATTTGGAATTTCTTCAACCTCTCAGGAAAGTCCCTGAGTCCCTGAGACAGAGGATACATTTTTATGGCCAGTCCATACATGCTGATCATAAACAGGAAAGTGAGAAATCCTTATAGATAACAAAGAAGAAAACCAACGGAGTATGTTACTATTACAATGGTAGCCTGCACTAAAAATCATCTGTTCAAGTGGAGTGAAGCTCTCCCCTTACAGAGAAGGAGAAAAAGGCGCCCCCGCCCGCGCCTGTCTGTCCCGACTGCTGGCTCTGAGCGCCGCAAGATGTTTCTTGCCCTGAGAGCAATGACTTCAGTTTTTCCATTCCAACTGTGGTGAAAATGAATAAGAAAACTGAATCCTGCCTCTGGAAGCAGGATGCAGGCTCTACACTAATCAAAAAAGGAAGATTCATTATTAGACAATATTTCACTCCCCAGACTTTGAAGAGTTCCTACATTGTCAGAGTAGCTCTGAATCATTTCATGACCACCACAGGATTGAATGGGAATATTGTACAAGCCTGACCCTTTGCAGGAAAGTTTCCCCCCTTCTAAATGAGTTGCCCTTGCTGCTCTCTGAGTCACTGTAATCCAGATCTTATAATTTCACCTTCTTTTTTTCTTAATAGTTTTACCAAATAGCCATTTTAAGGGAGAGGGCAGGAGTGGAGATTTTATTTTATTTTATTTTATTTTTTGAGACAGAGCCTCAAGCTGTCCCCCTGGGTAGAGTGCTGTGGCATCACAGCTCACAGCAACCTCCAACTCCCTGGGCTCAAGCGAGTCTCCTGCCTCTGCTTCCCAAGTAGCTGGGACTGCAGGCATCTGCCACAATGCCTGGGTATTTTTTGGTTGCAGCCGTCATTGTTTGGCAGGCCGGGGCTGGATTCGAACCCACCACCTTAGGTGTATGTGGCTGGCGCCTTAGCCAAGTGAGCCACAGGCACTGAGCCAGGAGTGGAGATTTTAAAGAGGCCATGTTTTACCCTAAAACGCATTTAATTAAGACCTACCAATGAAGTATTAACACTGTAACCAGGTAAAAGGAGAATAAAGTTTCGAGGAACCTGCTTGTAAGCAATAAAGACTTCAAGGCCGACACTCTATTTGCCAAACCAAAGCTGACTTAGCAATGGAATCATGAGCTAGTCTTGATGGAAGGGCCACAGGGCTGAGTGCCCGAGAGACTCCCTGGCTCTGAGAAGCCCCTTCTCAGACATGGGCTTCCCTGTCTCTCCCCCAGTGGAAGCCCAGCAGAAATCTGCTCTGCAGTCCTATCATTTATGAACATTCAGAGACAAAAATGTTGACAACCGCAAGCTGTGGCACTGTGGGATTCCGCTGGACACATCGCAAAGGAAAACCACCAGCAGCTGTCTGAAGCTGGTTTTCTTTTATTAACATTTGGTTAATAAAGCCTGTACCATGAAACAAACCAGATGAAAAACCAGCCTTCATTAGGAAAGCCTTTAGTGGAGGCTGGGAAAGATATTATTTTGTCCAAGTCAGTATGATTTTATCAACTTGAACACCTCTCTTCCCAGCATGGACTTGGGTGCTCTGGTGTTTCCACAGAGAGGCTAGCCTGGTGCTAGCCCGTGGGAGTGTCTCGGGCTTCAAAGCCAGGCAGACACACAGGAAAGAGTAAGGAGAGCTGAGTCGGAGGGCTCATGCTCAACTGTGCAGGGTGAACACTGGTGGGTTCAAGAAGACACAGAAAATGGTGAGATGAGTCCCTTCAGAATAGGGCCCCCAGCTGGCTTGTTTTTTTATCCTCAGCATGGTGAACTTGTCACACGAGGTAGGGATTTAATAAGTCAATTCTGAATAAAAGTCAACTCTATACTTTTATTCACCCATCGTTCCATCCTACCTACAATTCTATACCCTACTGTGTTTTCTCAGGTGCCTAACATCAAAGCACCTCCCAACGCTGATGAGTCTCTAAACCAGGGATTTCTTCACTGGTGTGCTGCAAAAAAATTTTAAAGATAATTATTTTTGAAAGAAGTTCAAAGCACAGTAAGTATATTCTTTTTGCTCTTTTTTTTTTTTATCAACATAATGTTTAACTATAGGTTCAAGGGAGCCAGGAGATTAAAAAGGTTGAAAAATACTGGTCTAAACTTATTCACACACAGTTGCACACACGTGCACTCATACATATGCCCATGCGCTCACATACACTCACACATGTGCACTGACACACGCTCATTCATTCTCATTTTCATTCATTCTCTCTCAATCTCACTCTCCTTTTCTCTGCTCTCTCCAGAATTGTTGCCAGGAGTTAGAGAAAGGGTAAAGTAACATTTAGTTTTTCCAAGTTTTTACCAGCCAGTTCCCAAAAGCATAAGGTTAAAGAATCAGAAAAGTAGAGGAAGAAGACAGGCGTAGGAAAATGGGGGAGTGAAGAGAAACAACAGGAGAGAAAGAAAACCAGAAAAGTCGAGCTTCCTGTTGTGGTGGGGATTTAATTGTGATGCTGATGCTCTTCTCCTAACAAGGTGACCCCCAGATATTACAGCAGGTTGAGGATCCTGCAGAGATGACTGCTTCGGTCATGCTGACTTGTGGAGAAACAGAAAAAAGGAATCTATGCAATCTCCATCCTGTCATAAATTCTGACCATTTGTTTTTCTTGAACAGTTCAGTTCTTCGTGGGTGTGAGTTGTGTCTTTGTATAGGTCCCTTCCATCAAGCTGACTCTAGCACAAAGTGAAATGAGCAGTACTTTTTTAGAAAAGTGCTTGAATATTTGGTGAGCACAGATGTCTTTGTATGTTAACTTGGCTGGGCCATCGGATGGCCAGATACTTAGTCAAACATTACTCCGGATGCTTCTGTGAGGGTGTTTTTGGATGAGATTTACACTTAAATCTGTGGACTTTGAGTGAAAGAGATTGCCCTCAGGTGGGTGGGCCTCATCCAATCAGCTGAAAGCTTAAATAAAACAGAAGGCTGACCTCCCGGGAGCAAGAGGCAACGGTCCAGCAGACTGCCTTTACTTCGTCTGCAACATCAGCTCTTCCTGGTTGTCCGGTAGACCGCCTTTGGACTTGAACTGTAACTCTCTCCTGAGCAGGCCTCTCCCACAAGATTTTAGACTTGGCAGCTTACACAATTCCTTAAAATCTATCTACACAAACACACACGCACACCTTGTTGATTGTGTTTCTCAGTAGAACCCTGACTAATACAGCATCCGACAAGCTGACAAGCAAGGTTGGGATGTAACAGATGTGCTCATGTCTTTCCTAATCAGCGCTGTAACGGAGGCGTGTGCACTAGAGGGCCGAGAGCCCAGAGTCTTGTCAGTGGGCCTGCTTCATGCATGCGCTCTCCCCCTTCCGAGAGCTCGGCCCTGGATGGGTCACCTAAGCTCCGGAAACCGTAATTAGCCAGCCGATTAGAGCACTGTCAACCGCTGATGTATTTGGTCTCTATTGCCATGAAACAAATTAGCACACTCTCCGTGCTTAAAGCAACATAAATTTGACCTGCAGAAATGTACGAGAATAAATTTATGTTGTTTTAAGCTTCCGAGGGCTTCAGGGGAGAATCTGTTTTTTGCGCTTCCAGATGCCATTGGCATTCTTTGGATCATGGCCCCTTTCTCACATCACTCCAGCCTCCTGCTTCTGTTGGCACATCCACACTCCTCTCATCTGCTGCTTCCCTCTTACAAGGCCCTTTTAAATTACCCTGGGCCCACCCAGGACACCCAGGAGTATCTCCTCATATCGGTATCCTTAGCCACGTCTGCAAAGTCTCTTTTGATCTATAAAAGAACACTTACAGGTTCCAGGATGAGGATGTAGGTGCCTCATTGGTGATGGTGGTAGGGACATCACCGCACCTACCACACTTGGTCAGAGGTAATTGGTTACAGAAGGAAAAATGAGATGGTGGGGAGAGTCTTAAGATTTCAGAGTTGGTATCAAAACCATTTTATTTTTTGGACAAGTATTTAAATATGTGGTGAGTACAGAATGATGCAACAAAGAAATGCTTTATTGGCTCCAGAAGAGAAAAACATGTGTTGGTATTGGATTTCTTTAACAATGACAATTCTGCTTCTAGAATCATCACAGAGTAGAGCTTCCCTCACTTCAAAAAATGAATATAAAAGTATTTATTCAAGTATGATTTTAGAGTCCCCTAGGTACCCAAATCCCAGGGGCTTTATGACCTGGCAGCTTTAGCAAGCACTCTACCCAGTCTCCTGTAAGCTGCCTTTGGCAAGAATTAAAACCTTTTAAGATGGACCCTGAGAATCTTCTTTGACACATTTAATTCAAGTATCATAAATCCACATTGCCATTTCTATTCTAGAATATGCCATCCCAATAAAGTTCTAGAACCCTCAAGATGCTGAGTAGAGTCTTTGAGAGTCAGTCACTTTTAATGCTTTCTTCTTGGCCACATGGATAACTTTAGGGAGACTACAGCCTTCCTTTTTGGTGTGTTGCTGTGTTTTGGTTGCTCAAAGGTCACTGCTGTGACCTTTGCGTGGCCTATTCTTAGCACAGAAAACTTAGTTTTGGCTCCATAAAATAAAGTAGCTTTCAAAAATCTTCCTGATGCCCAATTTAACAATTGTTGTCAGGAAGTCTGTAATAATGTCACCTAACTGATGATGACTCATGCTCTGTGCCTGAGCAGATGGTTAAAAGGATTGCCTAATTGGGTACCCCAGATTGCAGCTTGCTGGGTCTCCTCTGCCGATGGCTCTCTCGGGGCATTCTCCTGCCTTCGGGCACAAGGACTTGAAGTAAATACTGAAGAGCAACTCTAGAGCTCAAGGACGATTTACTACATATACTCATGCCTCCCTTCCCCTCTTCTTTTTGACTCTAAAAATTCTCCTTGGATTGCATTTGGTTCAGTCAATCCAGTCTGCTTGTTGGACTGTTCCAGTCACATCATGCCTTCTGACCTTCTGAGAGACCTTTGCCTGTTCCTTCACTGGCCTCTTCTCTTTCCTGCTTTTTTTGATCGGAATTATATAAGATGGACATTTTCTTTCTTTCCATCCCGAAGTGAATTGCCATCATGGCAAAGGTGGCCAACCACGTCACAGCTCCTGTCACTGTGTAGGCAAGACCCAAGAAAAGGCTACTCCCTCCATTCCATGTTGTGGTAGAAAGAACAACTGATTTTTCGGCTTTGAACCTGGTTACTGGGAAGTCTAAGAAGATGTGTTAAGGATCTGTCTCAACACTTCTCCTCTTTACTGTTTCAAATGCTAAATATATTAATTAGGTTCAACCATATGAAATTGCTCTTTTTGTGTGTAGGCAAAAAAATGGTTGAATACTTAATTTCATATGATTCAACCTAATCTTTACCAAGCAGTATTCTGTAACTTGATGGAATAAATTACTAAAAATAAGACTTCCCTCTCCATAGTTGTAATCTAACAAAAGAGACTCTGACATGGATCTGAATGACTTACAGACAACTAAATAATGAGTAAATATATTTCATCCCCTTTAGCAAATCCAAGGAAATTGAAAGACTATAGATAGGTTTGACAGCAAACCTAGTTTTTATGTATGAATATTAGGAGACCCAGGTAGGCTATGGTCTGTTAGTAGGCTAGCGTTTGAATCCCTACCTCAGGGAAAATTCTGCATGGGGAATGAGGAACGAATGCACACACAAATTAGAAGATGGCAAAAGATTTTTGGTGGGAAAACTAAAGGTGCTACATTCATTTGGGTTTTGAAACCGCCAATATCCCCCACTGCTGAGGAGAAAGTGTTTGAAGTGGGTTTGCAATCGTTAGCATGTTAATGATGTCATTTTGATTATGCATGTGGCCTGAGGTTTTTTAAACATCTGGTGCCTTTTGTAAACCAAACTAATAAACAAACAAAGGCTTCTCATAGCAACGGCACAGGACTGAGGCATTTCCCAGCAAAGCTATTAAAAGGCCTCAAATCTCTTGGCAACATGCTATTTAAAGGCACAAGGAAACTTATTAGGAAACTGGTTTTCTCTTTTCTTTTGCATCAAAATTCCTCACTGTCATCAGGTCTTTGGGTGCACCTTAACCCATCTGTCTGACTGTTTCCTCCCTCCCTCAGGTCCCATTTGAGAGGGTCTTTTCCTCACACACAGCGTATCTTTTCCCTCTTAGAAGTGGCAGGCATTTTCTGCAGCCCCGGCTTAGCTGTTCTTGCATCTGAGGCAGGCTGTTAACCGGGTTGGGTGATACCCGAGGACTATCTGCAGTAGTCCAAGTATAGGACTGAAGCTCAGGATTGAAGTGCTGTACATGGAAAATGTATATTTGAGAATGATCAGCCTTAAAACTAGACTATAAATGAAGTCATCCAAGGAAAGCAAGCTCAGAGAGAAAATGGAGTGTCTCCCTTACTTGTCTGTCTTGTTTGGAACATGGCTTCGTTTCCTCACCCTCTCCAGCCTCAGCCTCACTGTAATGCACTGAGGCCAGCAGTGCATGCTGTTCTCTCCCTATTCCTTGACAGAGACTACAACCGCTTTGATGGTAAGGCGGTCACAGAGTCGGTGGGATCAGAATATCCCACCTGAGAGACCATTGCCAAGCAACTTTCAGTCTCTATTTAGATTTTTTCTGAGGGAGAGAAAGTTTACTGAAGTTCTTTGAAAGGCTTACGTTTGATCTGTACCGATCATGCTCCAGGGAAGGGCAAATTTGTGGGTTTCGTTAGAGACCCTGCTGAATGAACTCACTAAAGGCAAACTTCCTCCTGCTCAGGAGACAGAACGCGACAAAAAGCTGAGAGGCAGAGATGGTGTCCCTTCAGTGGGGACTTTTCTGACTGAGGCACTCCCCCTGTCAGAATGGAAGTGTCCACACACCTACTCAGGGATGACAAAAAGAAAAGACGAAGCAGGGAACTGGGATACATACGATGGTTGCCTTTACCCCAAGAACTTCTTATTCCACTTCCCTGAGAGGTGAAGAAACTAAGGAGGTGAACAATTTTGTGCTAAGAATGTCTGGCCTATTAGGGGCCCCATTAAACAACTACTAGCAGGTAGCCCTGAGATGATACAGGGGGTGCTGATGCCTAATCAGGCTGAAGTTTCAAAGCTGTGTACATGCCCTGGAAAGAGTCTGCCTTCAAGAGAATTCTGCTTCAGAGAGAATCAGAAAGACCCTTTAAAATTAAGCCTCGTCAGTTGTAGTGGTTCACATCTATAATCTCAGGACTTTGGGAGGCCTCAGCGCAGGAGGATCATAAGACTTCACTTTCAAAAAAATGAAAAAAAATTACCCAGGCATGTAGTCCCAGCTATTCATGAGGCTGAAGCAGGAGGATGGCTTGAGCCCAGGAGTTGGACGTTACAGTGAGCTGTGATCTCACCACTGCACTCCAGCCTGGGTGACAGAATGAGAATCTGTCTCAAAAATAATAATGATTAATGATAATAATAAAATAAGTGAATAAAAAAAATTAAGTCTAAAGATCAGAGTTAGTATAAATTGTATGTAAATATTTAATTTCTTAAAGGTAGTGTTTGGGACCATTTTAAGGTTAAATCCCTTTGTTTACAAATCAAGACTTACATTTGTGTTTTTAAATTAAGTAAAAATATTCAGAATCTCACATTGAAGCATATGTCTCCTAACTTAGACCATATGTCCACAATCAAGGCACTATCTCCCACGTGCTAGCTTTGTACCCAAGGGAGGGAGGAACACAGCATCTTCAATGCAGAGTTTATAATGTGCCTCATGTGGGTTGGATTAACTGAACCTGGCCCTTGAGCCAAGGCCCCTGTGGTCTGTGACACTTTTGCTTAGAATAAAAAGATCCACAGTCTCTCTCAGTTTTAGTTATCTTTATATTATAAACTTACTGCTTATCAAACCCCTCTGGCTTTATTTTCATAGTCCTTCCCATCCTAGCTGGCATGTTTCTCCTTACTGCTTTAGATGCCTAGGCTTGGGGGACAGAAATATTAATTCCCTACTTATCCATACCCTTCATACCTGATACTGTTATTAACTGGAGCTGGCGGGTTCAAACCCAGCCTGGGCCTGCCAAACAACAATGACAACTACAACAACAACAAAAAAAAAAAACAGCCAGATGTTGTGGCAGGTGCCTGTAGACCCAGCTACATGGGAGGCTGAGACAAGAGTATCATTTAAGCCCGAGAGTTAGAGGTTGCTGTGAGCTGTGACGCCATGCACTCTACTGAGGGCGACATAGTGAGACTCTGTCTCAAAAAAAAAAAAAAGCCACTTTGGTGTATTGATTATTTTATGCTAAAGGCACTTGAAAAACAGCAGGTGCAAGAAGGGCACTCTGACCTCCCCTTTTCTTCTTGAAAGCAGGAGGTAAAATAGAGTTAGACCCTTGTTAAAGAAGCCCTGCCTGTATTCTTCATATTGCCAGAGACAGGGGGTCAAGGCTGAGAGAAAGCTGTACAAATAAAAGCTTATTAAACTTACCCTTATCTTCCTGATATTTTTCTACAATCGCTACTGTCTATTTAACCTAGCACATAAACACTTAGGCTTAGTCACTTCCTTGGATCTTCATTTTCCTTGTGAGGGCTCCCCGTTACATGTAAATAACATTTATATATATTTCTCCCTGTTAATCTGGCCTGTGCCAGTCCCTGCTGGAATACCTAGGAACATATAGGAGAATTTTTTCTTGCCCTGCACATTTCTTCTTTTTTTCTTTTGTATGCAGATTTAGTTGGAAAACAGAAAAGTGTTGAATGAAATAATTCAACAACCAGTAGCCAGCCTTTTCTTTCCGCATGAAGAAAAGTGGCATAAAAGGATACTATAGGTTATGTCGAAACTGTAATTACCAGCAGGCAAGCCTGCTGTGAACTGCTGGATTCGATGGAGTCGACGGTACAGCTTTTTGAAAGTGGGAAAGGCCGCTGTCCGCATCCACACAATGAAATCATCATTGAGGAAGCCGTTGTTTCCCCAGTCCTGTTCATCCAACTCATAGATAGGCTTAGGCCAGTTTGGAGGCTTTGCAGTTCCTGTGGTCAGAAAATAAGGGATATGGCAGAGAAAAATCATCTGTCTTTTTCAGTTTTTCTTTGAATGTAGAGAACAAAAGAACTTCTGCATTTTTGAGGAAATGGAAATTATAAGGTTTTATAAAAGTGTGTGTATGAGCTGAGTATGCAACCATTAAAAACATACTTTTAAAGATTCTAAGAAAATGCTCATAATATTTTCACAGGGTTACAAAAGAGTAGACCATCAAATTCCATGTACACTGTGTCTTCAACTAAATCAAATGCATATAAACCATTGAAAAAACACGTAGAACCAAATAATCATGGTGTTTATATCCAGTGATAACATCATGGGGGAATATCTGTATATCTGTGAATTTCACTGGTAATCTAAGGACAGCAAGTTAAAACAAGATACCATTTTCAGTTAAACATTGGTTAATATTTAAAGAAAAAAGAATGACAACCACTGATGAGGCAGTCTACTTGTACAGAGTGAACGTACAGATGATCATCATCTCTGGCAATTTAGGGCCATGCATTGAAAGCTTTAATATTTTGCATACACTTTGGCCCAGAAATTCTACTTTTAGAAGTGCATTCTAAGAAAATAAGCATGAACATTGGTTGTATAAATGGTCACCACAAGAGCTCAGAACTGGAAGCAAGGAGGAGGAATTGTTTACATGGGAGGAGGTAGAGAGCAAAGGCATTGCAAGGCTGTTGTATAGCCAGGATGCCTGGGAGGTCTGAGAGCTGTAGGAATGTTGGACATTTAGGGTGGAAAGTGATGCTGGGAGATGAGCCTGTTGAGTTTACCCTCATTATCACACTTCCCACCTCACGATGCCACAATGGGGGGCATGCCTGTCTCTCTCTTTATAGGAGACATTTCATCTATTTTTGCACTGGCATTTGGTCCAATGTCTGGCACAAAGTAGTTGTTCAATAACCATTTGATGAAAGGGTGAAACACTCCAGTCAAATCTGGCAGACAGAAGTCAATAATAAAAACCACATTGAAATATGAAGGGCTGGTCAAAAGAGTAAATTATTTAATAAACTTTTTATGTCCATAAAGTTGGTTCTACTGTTTGTAGGATTCCAAAAATGCTAAACAGGTTTTTCTCAACTAAGACTACTGATTAAACTACTTTCTTCTAAGCATGAGTTATAGTGCTTAAAAAAGCAAATACTAAGTTTGGTGGGGTTAATCTGTTGAAGGATGTTTGTATACTTGTACTTCCTCTGGAAATAATTCTTTGCTGGAGAATCTTCCTCTGCAAATATTGTGAAGCCTACCTATTTTGGCCCTTCCCCTAGACTTCAAGGACTGTTAATAGAAGAATTTTGATCAAAATTGAAATAGCTAGCTCGGCGCCTATGGCTCAAGTGGCTAAGGCACCGGCCACATACACCTAAGGTGGCAGGTTCGAATCCAGCCCGGGCCCGCCAAACAACAATGATGGCTGCAATGAAAAAAGAAAAATAGCCAGGCGTTGTGGCAGGCGCCTGTGGTCCCAGCAACTTGAGAGGTGGAGGCAGGAGACTCGCTTGAGCCCAGGAGTTGGAGGTTGCTGTGAGCTATGCCACGGGACTCTACCCAGGGCGACAGCTTGAGGCTCTGTCTCAAAAAAAAAAAAAAAAAAATTGAAATTGCTTTCCCTGGCTCCACTGTGGACTTCACTTTCTCTTTATGTTGGCCTGAGCTCAAGGTAGCATGTCCTATGAGCCACTGCCATCAGAATCACCCAGGGAGCTGTTAAAAGTGGAGGTTCAAGCATGCCCTCCCTTATTAATTCTCATCCCATCTTATCCATGTCTCCAGATGGTCTGGAGCATGGTCTATGACTATAGTCCTCAGTCCCTCGGCCAGTGACCAGTAAAGGTCCACGGTCAGTTAGGAAGTGGGCTGCACAGCAGGAGATGAGTGGCCGGGTGAGCAGGTGAAGCTTCATCTGTATTTATAGCTGCTCCCCATTGCTCGCATCACTACCTGAGCTCCTCCTGTCAGGCTGCCTTCCCCTCTACCCCTGGGCAGTCTGTGGAAAGATTGTCTTTCATGCAACTGGTCCCTGATGCCACAAAGGCTGGGGACCACTAGTCTAAGACACATGCTAAGACACTTCCTTTATGTTCCAAGCTCAGTCGGATCATTTGTAATCATCCGTCATCCATTCCTTTAACAATAAGCATTTCTTGATTGTCACTAGTACCAGGGATATGAAACTATATAAACCCAAACTCTTTCCTGAAGGAATTGTAGACTGAAGTGGTACATGACAGGTATGCAAACAGGCTATTAGAATATAGCATGGTGACTCTCACAATGGAGGTAAGAGCAAAGTACAGCAAGAGACGAGTGAGAACTAAGGACCCTTTGTGTTATAGGCTGTGGTTATGGATTAAGAAAAAGCAAAAGGGGGCCTATGCTCAGTGGTTAGGGCATGGGACATGCTCCAGATCTGGTGGGTTTGAACCGGCCCTGGCCTGCTAAACAACAACAACAACAACAAAAATAGCCAGGTGTTGTGGTAGGTGCCTATAGTTGCAGCTACCAGGAAGGCTAAGGCAAGAGAATTGCTTGAGCCCAAGAATCGCTTGAGCCTCAATTGCTTGTGGTTGCTGTGAGCTGTGATGCCACAGCACTCTACCAAGGGTGACAAAATGAGACTCTGTCTCAATTAAAAAAAAAAAAAAAGCGAAAGAACATTGCCATGTTCCTTTCAAAAGCCAGCAATTCAATTACAGATACAGTGACCATACATACCAGTGTTCCAGTGTATATTGTTTGATATGCCATCTGATTTAGTATTTATCTCAAACAATGTATACATAATTTAATCCTTCTAGTGTCCAGCCATGACCTTTGTTCATAGTATGTGAGATACCCATGTCCTCACTTCTCTGGATATGAAAGACATCCAGAGACCCTTTCAATCAAAACATAATAAAACATATCCCTGTGGCCCCTGCCAGCTACTTAACATTCCAAATAGCTCTGTCCTGGCCTGTGAGATGCCTAAAGCTGCCAGGCTGCAAATCAATAAGGTCAGTGAGAAATGTGGGAAATTACAGGTTAGGTTATATGTATATGATGTGTGTGGGGGACATTGATGCCATGCAGTCCTGTTAAAGTATCAGTCTCTTAATTTGCTAATAAATCATTTTAGCTGTGAAGTGCTAAAAGGTGGAATGTGCATGTTTAATGGAAAATTAAGAAGTTTCTCAAGAAAGATGATGAATGGGATACTTGGAGCATTGGTCGACTTCTATCCCCCACCATGGGAACCAGAATGATATTAAATGACCATGGGAAAATAATGAAAATATAAATTGGCTGAAGAACATGAGAATCAGGGTGGTGCCTGTGGCTCAAAGAGTAAGGCACCGGACCCATATGCCGGAGGTGGCGGGTTCAAACCCAGCCCTGGCTGAAAAAAAAAAATTAAAAAAAAAAAAAGAACATGAGAATTGATTTTGAAAGTTTATGGCTATTTTTAAAAGATTATATTCAAAGACAGTATTCTAATTCATGTAGCTACTTGAGTAGGTCCATTTACATATCATTCTGTGAGCCTGACCTTTCATTTAGATCAAATGGGTTTACTTGTAGTTTCACTTTTTTTTTTTGTAACCAAAGAAAAGCTTTTAATGTATTGACTCCATTAGCACAAAAAGATCTTTGTAGACAGTTAAATGAGGCCAGTTTTACATGAATGTCTTTAGATGTTTCAAATAGAAAAATCAGGTAGGTTAATTATAATAATGGTTTGATTTTTGTGTGTTTGATTCTTCGCAGAATCAAAGCAAAGCTTTTAGAAGTTCAATCTTTGAAGATGAAATCTCTGACAATATTATAAATGTTATGAAATTCTACGGTCAAGTTAAAATTGCTTTTTCAGTGATAATATAACTGCAAATTTGGTTATGTGCATCAATCAGATGCACATAAAGATAATTCTTTAAAGATAATTCTCTTAGTAAATTAAAAAAATTGACAGAGGAAAACATGTCCTTCAAATTACCATTGTGGTACATCCATAATTCACAATTATATCCAAACAAGCAATAAGACTCTAGTAATCAAAATAACAGTCATAGTTGTACAAATTTAACATTCTTGTATTGCCACAGTTAGAATAATTGAATTTTCAACTGTAAAATTTTTATAATGACATAGATGTTAAACAAATACTTCAATGTGGTAGTATTTTGCTGTACATTATCAATCAGAATTTCAGAAAGAGTTGATACTTTAAAGGACTTCTTTGTGTATCGAACAATGTGCTCTACAACAATCCTGAACATTTTTTTTCCCTTTAGTTTCACTCTTTCCTCCGGGCTAGAGTGCAGTGGCATCGTCACAGCTCACTGCAATCTCAAACTCCTGGGCTCAAGGGCTCTCTCAGCCTTCAGAGTAGCTGGGACTACAGGTGTTTACCACCAGGCTTGGCTGCTCTGCTAATTTTTCTATTTTTTTGTAGAGACAGGGTCTCACACTTGTTCAGGCCGGTCTTGAACTCCTGGCCCCAAGCAATCCACCTGCCTTCGCCTCCCTAAAATGCTATGTTTACAGGCATGATCCACCTAGCCCAGCTATGATCCATGGACTTTTTCTATTGATGAGCCTTCTGAGTTTGTTTGCATTTTATTCAAAATTGTTGAACATCTTTAAACAAAAAATCTGAAATATGGAATACCTACAAACTTTAGTTTTTGATGATTTAGTGAATGTGAATTATTGAAAACCGAGCTTGCAAACAAGAAGACATTGAAATTTATTCCTGTAAGAGCAAGGGAATAATTGAATATATTATATAATGGGAGTTCTAAATGTGAGTAAGATTTAATTTTTGAAATATCTTAACTTCTGTGAAGATTCTTTCTATAGCGCTCTTTTTTTTTTTTTTTTTTGAGATAGCCTCTTCTGTTGTTGTACAGCTAGAGTGCTGTGGCTTGATTATAGCTCACTGCGATCTCAAACTCCTGGGCTCAAGTGAATCTCTTGCCAGGGCCTCCTAAAGTGCTAGGATTACAGGCATGAGCCATTGCACCTGGCCAGTGCTTCTATTTTTAATTGGGTAAAATTTTCCAATAATGAAATGGTTGATAATGAAATGATAATTGAGAAGGTTTAGGATTTTATATAATCTAAATTTAGTGATACATTCAAGCGCACCAAAAATAGAAGAAAAAAACTTTTATGAAGTCAAAAAGATAATGACTAAGAAAATA